AACAACAACAACAACAACAACAACAACAATAACAACAATAACAACAATAACAACAATAACAACAATAACAACAATAACAACAATCAACAATCAACAAGATGCTCACCTAAGCCCCTCTCAATGGTGGTATGCTGCTGCTGCTGCTGCTGCTGTTGTTGTTCCCCTCATCAGCAGCGGCAACAGCCTTCTCATGTGAGTTAAGTAGAGGCTCTCTATAGGCAGCCTTAGCTGTGAGCTTGACGCCCACTCCACGCCGCTCGAATAATTTACACACCGCCTCTGCCATAGCGCGTACGTCGTTGCGGCTGAGACAACCAGTGTTGGAAAATATGCACTGATCAACTTCAGATAAAACTTCGAAAATTTAATGCTGATATTCATAGTGTACGAAAACCAGCCAGAATTTTCCAATTTAAGTGGGAGTGTTGAATTCGTGAACAAAAACAGTGAGGAGAAGGAAAAATATATTCCAACAGTGGAGGCAACACGACAAGTGCACTCTGCTCCCAAAAAGCATCATCTTACTTTTTTTCCAGATCCGTCAGCGCTCGTTGTGTCCTCTCAGTAAGGCAGGCGACCTCCTCTTCATTCAACACTCTATCACGCGGTCCTATGCTACATCTCGGCAACGCCCGTACGTCACCATAGTCTTGGTCGTCTGCCAGCACCTAAGCAATGCACTGTTATGAACCATGTGCATCAGGGGTGTACCAGTCCCGTGAGGAGCTCGGCATCTGCGGTGTCTCGGCCACCATGCTGTCGCCCATCTGACAGGCAACACATAAAGTTATTGACTGTTTGAGTGGATTTACACACATTACAATCAGAAAATTTTCGGGAGGGAAATTTTCGAAAATTCTTGGAAATTTCAGCATTTTCATGTTTTTTTTCAAATTTCTGGTAATTTTTTGTAATTTCCGGCAAATTCTTACAAAGCTTCATCTGAGGGAAGCGAACATGTGTACTAATCCTGGTAAGTAAGAAAGCTCTTTAGAATTACCTGGCGAGCCTTGAGCTAGCTTTGTTGCCACTCTCCAGCTGTCCCGCACGAACACAAAGGGCGCGCATACGATGAACACAGCGAACTCTAGCAGGCCCGCCACTACTCCTGAGATCAATCACTCAATACAGTAGAAATTAACCGATCTGAAACATTGGCATGTCCTCATGCCTACCTATGAGGAAACCGCTGACACCTCCCGTCTGGCCACCTTGGACCATCCGTACGAAAAGCCTTGTTCCTGCTTTCAGCCCCCGCACCTGTCAACAATGAACTATGTAAAACTACATAATGAGAGGCCAGAGCGCCTTACGAAGTGAACATAGAGTATGCCGCCACGAGTTCTTCCCCAATCAGCTGTCCTTAATGGAGTAACCAACACCCCTTGGGATTCTGATAATGCGACGGCACATACGGGGCCTAATAGCAATAAGGTGTACCACTACTGATGATGATGTGGTATTGTTATGGTACATAGTCCAACATCCCTTAGTGTATCATGATACTCAGCAGCCCTTGGCCGATATGATGTACCATAATCATCTTCCCATCGACCCATCACTCTACATAACTCACAAGTGACCAATTCCAATGGTAATTGTCGTTGAAAACCCAACGCGCCTTCATGAGCACCCATACCACGCTTACGCTCCTCCTACAATAACAACAACAACAACTATCCTCATCGCGACGAACCTGATTGCACATACTTACTCTGAAACTCTCCTGCAGCCTCTTAGCCGCCGCCTTAGCACCAGAAGTGATGCTAAACTCTAAACATGCCTTCACGGCCTGGGGTTCTACGTGTTCTCTACGCAGGAACTTGCCAGCGCCGTGCAGTTGGACTAGGCTACCTGAAAAGGCATTCCACTTATACAGTCATCCCAAAGGTGTACTAGCTAAGGAATTCACAAGGCACTTTGAGAGCTTACCCCAGATCCATTGGTCCCCGAAGAAGGATATAACGGAGGTTGGCAGGCCAAAGTCCAATCCCATAGCGGTAGTACCGGCACCACCATGATGCATAACAGCACAGCATTTGGGGAAGAGGTAAGTGTGTGGTATGGCTACAATGGAGGAGGAGGAGATCATCGATGGACTACTAATACTCTTATTGTTATTGACGTACATGAAAGGAAGGCTATGTTATCCCGGCCTAGGGCTTTGAGTATATCATATTCCCAGGTACCCTCGGCATACTCTATTGATGATGAGTCCACACAGTCATCACAGAATAGGCCGTCACTACTGAGAACAACACATCAGAAGAGCCGATAAAAGACGTCAACAACTCCCCTACTGTGAACGAGCCTCGGGCTTCTTACCACACTTCGGGCAAATCGCAGGAGGAGTACAAATGAAGAAAACTCGATCCTTCAAGTCTGATAGAATTGGAATAAGAGAGTAAAGCAGTTGATGTAAGTCACTTGGGATGTGAATGAAGTCCTCAGCGGTTATGTCCTTAAGAGTCCCCCATCCCTTCTGGAGGACAACTCTGAGATCGGGGATATCCTTTATTGCCTCTAGGATGGGTTTGTATCTGACTTGGGCACCTCACGCGTCACTGCGCCACGAAATTGCTCCTCACATAT